GTCTCTAAATCGATCAGGTTCGTAAATACTGCGTTGGGCAGCTAGTGGTGGTGATTGGTGCCTTTAACGCGTCCTCATAGTGTCAAGTAAAACATCGTGACTAACTCGCCATTTTTTCTATATTTAGAAGTCAAAAATGTTTCCCTGGCACAGAAGGCTGATAGCCTACATGCCAATATAAAAATAATATATGAAACACACACAGCAATGAGCGTCCCCCATGCCCCATTAAAGGGTTCGGAACTTTATACACATCAAATTTAACTTCACAAGCAAAATTTGTGCCATCTAGTTTGAAATTAATTTCACTAAAGCTCGAATCGTGAAACTAAAAGCAAAAATAAACCGTCCCAATCATTTTTAAGATCAAATACGAGAAATCCTTGATAATTCTTCAGGTAGAAAACTTCAAAGGATGCCGAAGACATATGCACTTAAGGCCTGTGAGACAATGAGCGATAATGAATTGTATGTATGTTTGAAGAAATATTCTGTACATGAAGACTTGTGTTTATGCTGTGTTAAAAAGTGAATTCATCTTCAATCGCGCTCTTCATTTCTGAAGGTCTTGTTATTGGTGCCGTAACTACTTCCAGTCAACCCTGTCGTCTGCCTCTGCGCCGTGGTGAGACCAGTAAGGGCCTTTACTTGATCAGTCCAGTGAGCAGGGGATCGGCCTCGAAGTCTAGTGCCCACGTTAACTTAAATATTTAATAAGCGCCTGAGCACTTGAACCCAACAGCCCAAGTTGAGGGAAAGACTCTTATATTTGTGCCGTTTATTATTTTCCGCCTGCTTTGCGGCATTGCCAGTTTTTAAATTTAGATTTTAAAGTGTAACATATAGGTATTCGCTAAAAATCGATTCAACAACACAAAAAAGATTTGAAACACATTCCTATAGCAAAAATCGGCCGCAGCTATCTCTTTTGTTCTATATTTTAGCGAAGTTGCGTCACCTTTGATCTAGTTCACAAAAATATGGACCTAGCTTTGGCCCGACACGCCATTCAACTATAAACCAATGATCCGATGCAGCTATTCGACCATCAGACTTAACTGACTGCAACGTGTGAAACACAACCGATTCGAAATTACACCAAATTCACGCGTAATAACGAAATAAAGGAGTAGCAATGAAACTGGAAATAATTATGGGAAAAACACGGAAAGTTTCAATGGAATTTTTTAACAGTTTCCATTTCCGGAGGAAAGATTTAGACTATCAAGTTTTGCTGTATTAAATGCCCGTGTAGCATATAACAAATATGGGTTCCTAAACGGGGAAACAACTTTCTTCTGGATTGCTAGCCGTAGAGGACTAATCAATAATCATACCATCGTTATCTAATCTATCGAATCTGGAGGCAAGTGCTTTTTCTCTTTTATTTAAACATCCTTTTTTATTACGTCTAATAAAGTTTTTTCTTCGTTAAAAAGTGACCAGTAATACAGGGGGTGTCTGCTGTATGCTTCTTTTCTACATATACTACAACAGGCCAGTTTCATTAAAAAATAATCACTTATATTCTTCGATTTACAAAACATGATATTGTCAATGTTATTTTTAGCAAGTAACTTTTTATAGAATAGGGTGGCAAAGGAGTCTAGATAGGCACCCAGTTTAGTGGATGCGTTGCCGGGCTTTGAGGGAGGAGTATACTCTTTCTTTAATCAATTGAAGGTCGATTCCACAGTTTGCCAGTTCGCAATAGAAGGTGTCTTGTGAAGCGGACCGTGGAAGACTTCCAGCCATCTCATTCATCATTTCTAATTGTCTATATTCATAATTAGATTCACTGACGTGTATTTGTTTAGAGCCTTTCTTAAACTTAAAATTTTTTTAGTAAGACACAAAATAACGTGAAAACTCCCAATACATTCTCACCTTAAACCTACTCTAGCACCGCAAAAACTCCCTGAAATCGAGCGCAGTGGCGCCACCCAACTAATCTATTTAGAACTTAACTGGTTTACACCTTTTGAAGTTCGTAATTCGATTGAACCGCCCTTTAGCGAATCTTCAAAGGGTATTTTAATTCTATGAATAAATAATTTAAATGGACACAATTGGTAAGTGCTAGCGTGGAAAGGGTTAATCTCATTTATTTAGGGATAACATAATATGAAATCAGGAGATAATTAACGTGCGACCATTTCAAAGCTATCGTATTTTATCAAGATGTCGTGACGGTTTAAAAAAAAATCAAAACCGCATTAATATCCGTTGCGTAGTTAAAAAGATCTAGGCGTACAGATGTAGAGGAGTGAACTTAATTTACGGTACGTGAAGCTGGTGATTATAAGATGTTGAAGACGAAAGACAATCAAAAATTATAATAAAAAATTAATATATATGTATATATTTACATACTATACCAACCTTTTAGGTCCGGGTCACAGATTTATGTATCTGTTATCATCATTTATAACAGGCAAGTAGATGTTCAACCTTCTGTGCCTGAAACACATCGTCCACTTTTTGGGTCTAAGGCAAGGTTTCCTCACGATGTTTTCCTTCACTATACGAACCGTTCCTTACCGTATTAAATGTGCACATAGACAGAGAACGGCAAAGGATCGATGCCTTTGAGATGTGGTGCTGGCGGCGAATGCTCCGAGTGCCGTGGACTGCGAAGCGCACCAATACATCGATCATAAGAGAGGCGCTGGAAAGAAACCGGTGGAAACAGATAGTCCGCTCTAGATGCTTCATTGCTGACCACGACGCTCAGACATGAGCTGCCGATTTAAGAGAGAGAGAGCGCGAGAGAGTTTTGCCTAATGAATATCCAGATACAACTATCGGAAATTCCTATTAAAAATACAGGTGTAAAAAAATATACTGTTAAAAATTATGTGAATTTGTCCCTTGCCCCACTGGCACTTTATACTGAAGTTTGTTTCACTGCGTAATTCACTTTGCAGTTCATTAATCTAGTGCTTCGGGTTATCGATATAAATGCCTAGCTAATCGATTATTGACGGGTTGCGGTTCAGTTGCCTGGAATTAGGGATGATCCCTATTTTATCGATAATACTCATTAAATTATTTTGGGTTCTACTTTTCATCCCTTTTTGACAATTTCTTTTATTAAGGCGATAAGAATTTGTTTAAGACTATTTTTAATGTTTGCTTTGTTTTTGTTTGGTGCTGATTAGAAAAATACGCTCGCCATAAATAATCATACTACAGACACAAAAATATGTCTTGTCTAAGTCCTTAAATTTCTTAGTATGAGGATTGATCTAATACACTTACGCCTTTAGTACACCTACGCGTTCGTATGCGGCTGCGAATCTTTGCGAAATAATTGCGGTAGCGAAATATCTGCGGAACGTTAGTACACTGCAGGTTTTTCGCAAGGATATGTCATTGTAGCTTTCGTGTGCTGTAGGTGCAGACGTCGTTTCAGAATGTCATCTGAGTCGTCCCAGTCGTCGCTTTCAGATTCTGAAGACGATTTTGTAATCAACATGCCCAACTAAATATAATTCGGGATAATTTCGAATCAAATTCAATAATAATTCAATATTTTCGGCTTCCATTATGCGAAATTCTGTCCTCACTGACAGAACTCGTGGTGACGCCTTGCGATGCGAAACTCCAGTAGCGAAACGTCTGCGTCTGTGTAACAGCCATTTCGCAGTTACTTGCGAAACAATACCGACAAGGACGCAACTATTTCATCTAGCTATATATTAGAGCGAGACAAAACACATGCGAACGTTGCCATACAACTTACAGTTTTTTCGTCGTTTCGCTGCCGCATGCGATTGCGTAGGTGTACTAAAGGCGTTATAGCAGTTAAGGCCACGTTGTGGTTGCCTTTAAAAAGCACAAGGCGCTTATTTTTATGAATGGATTAAAATTATAGTAAGGAACGTTTTAATATTCATTGAGCTTCAATAACCAGCGGAATTTTCCAAATTCCATCTGGAATACCCTACCTAGGAGTTTAGGCACCTCTCATACAAATTCTTCGCGAATATAACATAATAAACACTACTTATCCACAGCTTGACATATTTGGTAGCGACTTGATAAATTTAAAAAAGAAAATTTTTGAGGGCCTATTTGATACCTAATCCGCTGTTTAACCATATTTTTAAATAAGTGATAGTGTAATATTTTAATTTTTATTATATTTAAATTTTTGATAGTGTAATTTTTTTTTATTTTGTTTACCATAACTGTAATGTATTTTAGAAAAGATTGCTTGTAATATATACTGTAGATATAGAATTATGTATGATGTGGTGAACTTTAATAAATAAATAAACAGTATATTGTAATGAAGAACTTTTTAATTTCTCGAGCTTTATTATTTACAACGCCTAAGTAATAAAAGTAAGATATAGTACATATAAAAAAACTATTAAAAATGGGTTACAAATACTTTAAACTTAAACTTTACATTTATCGATATACAGCTATCCCATCCCGTAAATCACGGCAGTCTGTGGACTAGACTTTACCAATGAAGAATGTGAGCTACATGTGAATATTTTACTAAAAACAGCTTCAAACGAAACTGGGGAAAAATACTCAATACATTTGATATAGCTGAAATAAAGTTAAATAATATTTAATTAAAAAAACAATTATTTAATGCCTATATAACATAACCTTGGTATAATAGCATTGCATAGCATAATCAGTTCGTAAGGAGAGTCGAACTCACTGTCACACAACACCAACACTTTATTAGGTATTCTTGTTCTTAGTTAGTTAATATATTTCGTCTAGTTTTATTGTTATTTTTATTAGAAAAGTTTTAAAAATGTATAAACCAAGTTGTCAATATTCACGCCATTTTTAGGATTGTGGCACTGACCCTTCATTGAAAGTCCAAACCTCAGCCAGCAATGGGATCACAAAGGCTGTTCTTGTTTTAAGGGAAGTGTCATAACCCTGAATTGTCTGCCATTTATTAACTTCACCAAATAAGGCTCTCATAATGCCACAAATCACCAATTGTTTGATCTAATACACATTGCATGATACGCAGTACCGAATCAAATTCAAAATTAGCAACACGCAAAATGAAATTATCTGTGACAAAACTAATTATACAGCTGTTAATTCTGTTAATAATAGCTGTTATAATATTTATATTATCTATTTCTTTGTACAGTATTCGATATTGGCCAGATGTGTATAACTATATCAACGCGAACATAACGATAAAACGAATTCCAACAATAACAGAACTAAATGTAACGTATTATGAAGAAACGACGGATGATGCCACCACAGAGTATATTTTAGACACGACTATAGAAGAAAGCACAGACTATTTTAGTCTAGAGGATGTGGAGACGAAAAGAGATAAACGAAGAGTGGAGATTGAGGCTGATTATGTTCAACTACCGAAAATAGGTGTGGTTGATTATGTTTTCGAATTCGAGGCGACTACGATGGAAATGATAGATTTAATTGGTGAAGATAAATTAACTACTGATATGGACGTCGAAAGCGATTGTGTAAAAGTAAGTTTAATAATTGTTATTTTTTTTAATGCTTGCGAGTCTTCTGGCAATTTAAGTATGAATGAGCGGCGGAACGACCTTTTATCAGCTGAGCCTCAAGTAAAAACAGTATTTTTTTGGGTTAAAAACGAATTAAAAACACTGCCAAAAGGGCTACAGTCTTTTTAAATAATTATATCAAATCTGGATATTTATGTAATTATTTATTCAAAATATTATATTTTAGGCTTCATTAATCCTTATAAACACCACTACATTTATAAAGATAAATTCAAATAATCCAGGTGCATACGCAGATCATTTTATATATAATTCATTCCATCCAGATAAATAACTCTATTATTACCTCATATTTGTAGTACGGCATATAATGAAATTTCTAAAAATTTAAGAGACACCAAAATCAACATGTCATTTACATACAAAATCTTATAGGAAGAAATACGATTTAAGTAGGTATTGGTAATATTTATAGATTCTTGTTATAATCCAAATTAAAATTGCTATCATCGATAATAAATGATTTATCAAAAATGGCTGTTCTATTACTTTTATTAAACGAATGATATTCTGAATCCGATAGACTTTTATAAATAATTTATTTTGTCAAATATCAATAACAATTAGAAATATTACACACAAAGATTACAAAATAAAACATTGCATAAGAAATGTAACGAATGCATTACACAAATGTTTTATATAAAAGCTTAACAAAGATGACAGTAACAAATATTCTCCCGCGCCCATTGTTAACAAATCCACTTTCTCTAAGTAACCTAGATTTCAAACACAAATACGTCAAGGCAACAATAATTCTTGTAAGCTCGTCGATTACTACTAAAATGGCCTATTATCCACCCATTGTGCGAACCATCCATCAAAGTCAGGCTCACCACGAATTCCCAAGGTGAGGTCATTACTTACCTCCACAATACTAAATTTAATTAATATAATTGTACTGCATTTGTTCGTGATCATGCTCTATGTACTCACGTCAAAATGAACCTACAGATTATTTTATTTTTCATTCAAATGTGTGGAATATATTGTGAATGTGATACATACTACGAGTGCCTTAATACGTTCGTGAATAGCTTCTTTAAAGCTAATTATTTTGAGCCTAGTGAAGATCAAAGTGATGTTATAGACTTTAGTGGTGAAAATATTAATAAAATTTTATCAGGTGTTTCCGGTTTCTTAAAGGATGAGATTAAAGGTGTCACTGATTTGGATTCAGAATATCATTCGTTTAATAAAAGTAATAGAACAGCCATTTTTGTTAAATCATTTATTATCGATGATAGCAATTTAAATTTGGATTATGGCGAAGAATCTATTAATATTACCAATACCGTTTATAACACAAACGATCATTTAACAACAGAAACAAATTACATTGATAGCTTGGAGAAGGAACGCAAGAGCTTTGATCCTACTTTTGAAATCGACAATATCATCGATATAGATTATGATAATGAGGACAATTCTACAGATTATCCTATAATTGATTATATAGACTTGTACAAAGATACAACAAATGAATATGTGACATCAACAGAATCACAAGTTGTAAATACAATTTCTCACGAAGCGACCTTAATAGATAATTCTAATGAAACAAAAACTTACGTAAGTTATTTCAATTTGCTCATAATTAAAATTTCCGCATTTTAATTACGTAATTCCTGTTTTAAGATTAACATCTAAAAAGTATTTACTATGCTGCTTTGGTTATTAAAATAGTTTCTATTTGAATTCTGAGTTTGTCGTTGGTTTTGCGACATAAAATAAGAACAAAAACATCCGCAACTTTCACGAATATCATAGAAAAGACATTTATAACAGAGATTTGTAAGTTTTACATTTCTACACATATTTTTCAGCAATTATTTATCACCAGACAGATCAACTTGCATTTTTACTTACAAAATGAAGCAGTTTTGTGCAATATCTAACCCTTTTAAGGAAAGTTGTTTGGAAAATGACCTCGACGAATGTCTTTAATTCATTCATATTATAAATCAGTCTGATGCATTTAAAGAACTCCGCGATGAAATAGACCAGTCATTGTTTTAATGTCTAGTCAATAATCACCCGTAAAAGAAAAAAGGGTGCGTGTACTTATGTACGCGCGTAAGAAGTTATACTTATACTTGGCATTATTAAAAACAGTTTGGCTTTGTTCCACCTCCAGTTTTTGATGTTTCACAGCGATAAGATGACAACTCTTTTTTTGTATTCAATTTAGTGCACTTACACTGATTCATCAATTGTTTTTTGTCTCTTGTCCTTATATTTGCTAGATTAAATCAGAAAAATTACATGTTTTGATTAAACAATGTGGTAATTTTTTTAATCAAAACATTACTCGATAATAATAATACAAACTGATAGTTAACCTCAATTGTAATGAAGCACTTAGGAAGGTTGATGAGCACAGTTTTTTCACAAATATTAATTAGTATTGGTTTAAATATTCAATTTAAATCACTTCTGATTATAATTCAAAAAGCATTGCTAAATTTCTTTGAAAAAATAATTAAAACTCCTTTATTTGTTTAAAAGGTAAATGACAAATATCATTATGGTCATTCAAAATTCTTGGCATACGAACTTCACGCATATTCTATTTCTTTTTACTTGTAGATTGTCTTATTCCTATCTCGCTCGCGCACGCTATAATCACACTCCTAATTTTGTGTCACGGTGCGCGCGCATCGTAAAATTTCACTCTCATAAATTTTTCATAACGCGCCTAAAGAAGTATAACTTCAAAAAAATTTTTATATGTGAAGGACGAAAAGATTACATATTTACCTCAAAAGATAATAATAAACCCTGAATAGAGTTTAGGCCCAAGCCTATTAAGGGTAGCAATAAGGGCAGGTAAAATAAAAACATTGCCAATTATAAATACTTATAAGTATTATATGTATTAACTAGAACTGTGTTGGCCTAGTGGATTCAGCGTGCGACTATCATACCTGAGGTCGTAGGTTCGATCCCCGGCTGTGCACCAATGGACTTTCTTTCTATGTGCGCATTTAACATATGCTCGAACGGTGAAGGAAAACATCGTCACACCCAAAAAGTCGACGGTGTGTGTCAGGCACTGAAGGCTGATCACCTACTTGCCTATTAGATTTAAAAATGATCATGAAACAAATTCAGAAATCTGAGGCCAAGACCTAAAGATGTTGTAGCGCCACTGATATATACCTAACTAGAACTGTGCAGCATTCATGCCATTTTCCTCATTCCGAAGTGTAATTCAATCCATTGCAGTGTTCTAACCTAACCATAAAGGAAGACCGGGATTCGTAAATTCATTTTCTATTGCACGTTTGTTTTAAACCTCAACAAAGGTCATTAATAGGTCTGTCAAGCGATATTTCGGTGACGTGAATCCGTCCCGTCATAACGATGTCGACGTAGGAAAGCATATTTGCTGTAAGTAGACAAAATACCTAAAGTGACTTTTTCCTGCCATTAGAATCAGAAAAAAAGCCGCATCGAATGACCTGGGTCCTGTGTCTCTAGATGAAAAAAATTACATACGCCGTTTAAAACGCCCGTACTTATATTATTTTTAGCAAGATTAAATGCTGTATTAGACCAAAATCTAGTCATTTCAGACATTTTGCACTTACAGCAAAAGAAAATCTGCATTTTTTTCTTTACAAATACTTACTTCTTCCCATTTAAAAACTTAACGCTACTTACAGCATTTCAGCGGCGTGTGATTTTTACATTCGTTTACTTACAGCAAGTTTAGGGAACCTACAGTTTTGGTTTTTTTTACCATTTACGACATTTTATTTCAACCAAACATTACATTACCAAATGACCCACTGCATTTCTAGATCTAATCATAATTATAAACTAATCTTACATCTTGAATTGCAATTAAAAGTACCCAAATACATAAATTTCCTGCATACAGCATATTACCGCCTGTAAATTGATAATATTTCCGCGTACATTTTTCTTCCTTATTTACAGCGTTTTAAAGGTTTGTGATTTAAAAAACTGTTTGCTGTAACTAGCCAAACACGTACTTATAGTAACTTTTGGATAAAAAGTTTACATTGCAAATGGTGACTGGCAGTTAAATAAATATATTTTCAAAAATGGTAGCAATATCATGGATAGGTCAGACACTATTAATTTTTTTCCGAAATTAATAAAGTTTTTTGGCTCTGGTGAACAATTGCAATATGTCTACTTACAGCAAATGTGTTTCCTACGTGATGTGTTTATCTTGTAGCCTAAGAGTAAGATTTTAATCGGTGAAGTGTTTACATGTCTTCGCTATTAAAAATAATGACGGTTTGGTTGTGATTCTTGTTTTTATGTGATAAGAACTGGTATATTTTTCGGCGTTTGATTTTTTGATTGTGTTTGTAGAAATAATAATATAGTCAAATAATTATTATTAATTGAAAAAAATTAAAAAACCAAATTCGATCACAGGCGTATAACAAGGAACACCATGTGGGCCAGTCAGTAAGCTTCTTTACGTAGACTAAGTTCTGATTGGCCTATCAGAACTTATTCAGCAAGATGCTAGAACATATTATCGGCTTATTTTGGTTACAAAGAATATGTGATTGAAACCGGGTAAGACGTAGTCAAGATATAAAAAGTTTATAAACAGAACGATTCAAGCAATAAAAATGATGTAAGAAAAAATATCGAACTCTTAAACTATATCATTGATTTTAGCAGAATGAAAAATCGCACTATTCATCGCTATATATGTATATCTGTTTGCGGCGAGAGGTTTCGAAATGTTCGCTTCTTTTTCAAATTAATGGTCACAATTTTTTACTCTGATTGATATCCGCTGAATGAAAACGGAATTATTACAGCACCGGGTTAATGGAAAGATTTTTTAACGTGCATTAATAATAATAATTTATTTGCAACAAAAATGTTATGGTGGTACAATCTAAAGTTCGCATATTCTGTCACACAATGGCCTGCAAATTTGTCTTAAAATTAATTATACATAGAAGTTACATACATTAAGAGTAATATCATTATAGCCGACTCTAAGATTATTTTATCACTACATCATCACATTATTAAAATATATTATTACATTTTCAAATTTATGTTAATTATAATTTCACGCAAATAAATCATTTTATTTTAAAACATTTAGTTTGATACAGTTTACTACTTTGTAATAGACAAAGAAAAAGATATTGTAAGAAGTCACTACTACTAGTTCATTTGCCATTTTTATTAAATTTATACATTTTTGGAATTCACAAGTTTTCTGAAATTGCACTTAGAAATATAGCCTTTGGTGAAGTCAGGACTATACTATTTAAGTAGGAAGACTCATAGAATACGTCTCACTTCGTCAAGAGTCTGGGTTGGCAATGAACATATTGACGCTACAACTGTCATATTTGCTGTCATTATCAGACTGCTTTGCCAAAGTGACCTTTGATGCATTAGAGTTCAAAAAAACTGCATAATGTCAGAGTCCTGTTTCTCATCAAAAAAGTGGTACATATTCGGTTGCAAACGTTCCGTTCGTCCATATTTTTTTAGTAAGCATAATCGTCCTACCGTAGACCAAAATTCGCAGTGATTGTGGATAAATTTGAGTCCACTGGTTCAGTAAACGAACAATCTGCATTCTTACGTTGACGAAACTTATAGATCTTCCCATTTAAACACTCGCCGCTGTCCGTGACAGCATTCTGGGCGAGGATGACTTTAGGCAGTTCGCGTCGCTTACAAGCAACTCGCGTTTCACGGACCTACAACTTTAGTTTTTTTTTACCATTTACGCGTCGTTACTTGCGCCTGCACCCGTTACACAAATGACCCACTGAATCACTGCGGTCCTCATCAATCCTAACTATAACTAATCCTACATCTTGATTGCCATCGAAAGTCCCAAATTCATCAATTACTGATTTATGCACCGGCGTATGGCAATAAATTGGTAATATTTCCCGCGCGTACATTTTCTTCCTTAGTTACAGCCGTTTTAAAGGGTTGTGATTTGAAAACGTATGTTGTAACTAGCCAAACACGACTTATAGTGACATTCGATAAAAGCCTTTCAAACCATTAAAAATTGTTGACTGGCATCTAACATAAATTTATGTTTCAAAAATGGTAGCAATATAAGGAAGGTTCGACACTATTAATTTTTTCCGAAATTACTTAAGTTTTTTAAGTCGGTAGACCCATTGCAATATGTCTACTTACAGCAAGAGTATGGGTTGGCTACGTCATATATATATATAGCTCTTTCAAATCTCTTTCTACCAAATTTCGATTAAATTCTATACTTTTTCAAACGAAAGTGGCATGAAAAAACCTGGCTATAGACAAATGTCTTGGTTAAATAATCTTCGGCAATGCACCAAATCATTATTCCGAAGAGTATATCCAGAGGAGCCATAATGATTTATCTTCGAAAGAAGATGGAAGTAAGAAGAAAGGGTTTCAGGGCCATGTGTATACCTATTAAAAACAACTATGCTAAGGCCCTACTGATATAATGAACCTTTTATTTTCCCCTTCGCAAACAGGGTAAAGTTTGAGTTATATGGTAACCCCGTAACAATGCCAGTTGCTGATAGTTGGCAACACGCGACCCACTACATCAATCACGTTAACAAAGGATGCAGACCTTCAAACTCGTAAAAATAGATGAGGTGTATTTTTAAGGCATTTCATTTTTGTTTGACTTTTTTTTTAATTGGCGGTAAAAGTTGTTCTTTTTAATTAATTTATGTCTAAATACAGTATACTTTGTATAAAAATTCTTCTATGTAACATTGTACCTAGCTTTTTAACTAAAATCAAATTTTAAATAAATACATTATTTAAACGTTTATTTACAAAGAAAGCGGAACATTCAGATTGATTAATTATAAAATCGCACAATGATTTATATAAATATAGGCATGCAAATGTCATAATAATTATGTATTATAATGTCAGATAATAAGAACATTATCATAATAATAAGTTAAGTTATTTGTCAAACTTATAAAAGCACCTTGCCTTTAAGAATTTAATCACCTGGCAAACAGTGAATTCATATTTTAACAAACACGTATTATTGTAAGTACTGCATAAGAGAACTATTGAAGAAAGATATACTCTTATTTCGAATAAATAGGAGGGGAAGATCGTTACCCTTCGTACGCGGGGCACATTCATACAGTCAAAATAAAACTTGAACGAAACAAAGTACAGTCTTGTTTTTGTATGTGTGCATGAGTCGAGGTACCAACTATACATCACCGAAGTTTCGCGAAATTCGCACCGATGAGAGTGAAGTTACAGGCATGTACGTGTTTTCACGCTCGGAAAGTAATTTTTTGATCAATGTTTTTGTCTCTTGTTACCGTAGAAAAAATAAGTTTTTGTGTAGTATTCTATCAGTAACTAGCAACTATACTTAAAATACGTCTCCAATACTTAATTAATGACGTTTTTCTATTAATATTAAAATAAGTTATATTCAGTTAGTGGGGTACTTTCGGACAGCACTAGATGGGGCACATTTGAACGAATTGTACAATTAAATTGGTATGAAAATTTGTCGACACGAACTGTCATTTTCATACAAATTAAGTTTTTGACTTTCTACATACACTACTGTTAAGGCATCTTGACTAAACCCTCTTGTGTTTAGTCAAAAAAAAATGTTTTCTTAATTGGGATTATAAATAATAAATTAATAATTTTTGGTCGCGCAGAATGTGGAATAGAATGTGGTGGCTACCCATTGAAACATTTCTAAACCAGTTCGACTTAAGGTCCAATAGGGTACGTAGGCGGCGGTATCACATAACAGTAGGTGAGCCTTCGGTTCATTTGACCTATAAAAATAATTATAAATATAAATACCGCATCCGTAGTTTCAATTCTCAAAGGAAACAATGTTCCTCTCACGATGTCTCAAGGTTCAGTAATAATTAGAGGAAAAAACTTTTGTTTCGCTGTACATAATATATCTTTGATCGTTTTGGATAAACTAATTGCATATTAAACAAACTCAGCTTATTTATGTACATACGAGTATGTACTCCTGTGTGTCCGTGCAACTAAAACGGCACTAATATATGAAGTGATTAAAATAAAAATTTAAGAAATATAAGTTACTTCATGTTTAAAAGTATAAAAGTGTTAATAATTTTCTAACTTTCAGTACAACGACTCGTGTCCTCTAGGAACAACTGATGACGTCACAGGCGTGTTCAGCTGGATTGCCGCTATATTTGTAAAGAATGGGACCAATCAGTTCCAATATTACTGCGACGGCGCTCTTTTATCCACCAATATTATTGTAACAGGTATTATTCGACTTTTACAATAGCTTTGTTGTGTAACCTGTACAAAGAATACATTTGCAAGTGGTTGTTTGCACTTTGAGGATATTTAGAATTTTCAAGCAAAAGTTTTTCTTGTATTGTGTCAAACTGTATGTCATCGGAGAAACGTCAAAACAATTGTTTATAGAACCGTCTTACCGCTACTGTCAACTGTCAAACAGGTTGAGTGTTTCCGAACCGATAGCCATCAAACAAGGAACTACATTCTTAAAGTCTGGACTCTCTGGGCGTCTATCTTATGGCTTTAATTATTAATGTCGACTCTCTGAAAGTCATGTATCGTATCCTTATTTCTATATTAATATTATTTATTTATTTTTAATACAAAATCATTTTAAATCGAAACACCAATTAAAAGCTTTACAGACTAAACAATAATGTTTACAGAAAGAATTACGTGTAGAATGTGGGTATGTATTTGTGTGTGTGTGGGTGTGTGTAAAGCCTGTGATTTAAAAGGAAAAAACAAAAACCTTTTAGAAATACAAAACATTTAGAAAAAAAAGAAAAGGGAGAAGCAGTCTCAATCTTTAAAAGGAAAAAAACACTTTTCCGTTGTAACGACATAACATGAAAACAGGTATTTTTCCGGTTTTTTATAAAATATTCCTTGAAGAAGTGTTTCTATACCATAAAAAATCCCCTCGAAAAATACGAAAAGCATTTTTAGAAAATAAAGACCAGTATTGCATAAAGTTCAAATGTTAGTGGAGGGGTTCCGGGAAGGGATAAAATTTTAATTTTTGACATAATGTATTTGTTGTCTTATCAACTTTCTTTTTTTATCTTACTAGCTAGACCGGTGTCCCGAATAGCAGAATAAGTATTTAAAAAAAATAAAGAATCAACTGTTAGGCGGTACGATGTTCGCCGGGACAAGCTATTTTCTTATAAAAGTGTCACAATTTGCATACTGAAAGTACATGTCAACCGGCTTCAGGTCAAGAAAAATGCAAAAGAAATATCTTTCACTCATTATTGCTCGGTAAATGACGTCAGTCTATACCTCAAATAAAACAAATGCGGGGAAAAATGCTTTTGCCCTCCCGACTCGCAAGTACTTTTAAAAAAATGAAAATGTCAACCCGGAAAAATAAAGCGACGTTGGAGAAAGCATTTTTTATTTTAGCGCCTGGCAAGAATAAGGAAGTTTACCTACTACGCTAGGAGTATTTAGCTATTGGATATAACATAAATACAATACAAATGCAGAATTAGACTGCTTATAATTAAGTTTGTCAGAACTGCAAGTTCGCCCCCCATCTGCGTGTTCTTACTTCTTTGCCATCAGAAATTGAATAGCTCGTCGTTAAAAAAATGCGTGAACACAATTAAAACGCTTCATGTCACGCACCACTTTAGGAACGCTTCATTCCAGATATATCCGAGCCGTTACAACTAAGAAGCCTTCCAGAGAATAGGGTACCACTACCTTAAAGGCTGGCAACGCACTTGCCAATCCTTGTGTTGCGGTAAACACTTAACTTTAAGTGCTTGTCGTTTGCCTCCTGTCCCAATAAAAGCCTAATATGAGACATAAATGCGCGACTTTGGGTCACAGTCAGTTATAGCACAGTTCCAGACGTTAGTTCCTCAATTCCTTAAATCAAGTACTATATCTATAATACACTTAGTTCTTATTCTAAATCGCACAGTGAGTAAGCTTCAGCAGCGGATGGTAATGTGATTACCGCCTCGAATGCAGTCGACGGCATTAAACTGTGTCTTAACTCGACGAAAAATTACAGCGTGTTCAATTTTCTTTCCAATATAACTCGTTACGCTTGAGACTTGACTTAAGTTCAACGGATAACTTAAGTTGATAAGTTTTAAAAAGATAACTTAACCCCAAATGCCTGGTGCAAGTTTCAGAGTTTAAAGTTTCTTGTTTAGATAAAAATATCGTAAGTTACCAGACTGACAAATAGTTTATTTAATGGCGCTGCACTAAAAAGTAAGATTTTTGTTTAATTAATTATGAAACTTTACTTTCCAATCTCTCCTTGGGAATCCGCGATAATTTGTATTTTTTTTTATGGAAGGGAATCTCGCTGTTGGCCTTAAGGGCCTTTACAGCTCAGTGAGGCTATTTTGGCGAGCGTAGCTCGGCCTGAATGAGCGTTTTTCCCGCGACTAGCGCAAGGGCGTCTCCTGTGAGACTCGAACCTCGGCTTGAGCCGTCAATCGCCTGAAGGGCAGGACGGAAGCTCACTGGAGTCAGTCGCCTTCCCCGGTGTAGGCGGTTTTTTACCCTTATCTGTCTTTGGCTATTATTAATATTGGCCGCGCGGGCGGTTTTTAAAATATTGTTAGCTACAGTGATTGGATCATCCGGATCCGTTAGTATGTGTCGCGGCATCCTTCGAATCTTCTTTGTCGGAAAGGGACTTCAATAACTCATGAAAACCCACAGTAAAACAATACCGTGTTCCAAATGGAACAACTGCCATCTAGTGATCGGCATTAAAATGAACTAAATGTTTATCAAATTTAATATAAAACATTTTCAGCTGCACGCTGTGTGAATTTTACGCGAGCTGAAGACATCATTGTAATATTGGGCAAGGCTTCTCTACAAAATATGAAAGAAAATGAGAAAATTTTAAAAGTAAGTTTAAGATCTTTAGAAGAATCTTACACGTATACATATTTTCCACAAATTAAAATGACAAACTACAGGCTGAAACTACATTTAAATATTTTGTCACAAATTTTAAATCATTTAACTATTTGCACTCTGCATTTTGTATCCTTGCTTAAATTAAAATACTGCATAAAACATCTGGACAGTTTGACATCTGGATAGTCTTCAATTAAATATTAATAATTGTGTTAGTAAAACGTACTTAAGTAAATTTTTTATGTCGTCAAGTGACAGTCGTTCATTGTAATGCAAATGTGGCGAAAGTTACATATAATTCTTAATGACCGTCTACCTATTTGCATTTATATAATAGAGGGCATATGGTAGGCTTGACCTGATGATACCGCCGTCTAGACACATCGAAAGAGGGCTCGCAAGTGTATTGCCGGCCTTTTAAGAACTTGTACGCTCATTTCTTAAAGGACTTTCATGAACGCCTAGCGGCTGATATAGATCCCGATGTTATTATATTCAATTTCGATTTAGTTACAGTGAAAGTCAAAATCATTTATTCACTGAGGTAACACGATGTACACTTATGAACGTCAATAAAAAACGTATAAACGTAAGGGTGCGTCCACATCTGGCGAATATGCGGCGAATGTGCAGCTCGCGAGCAGTTTGCGAGCTGCGCGCGAGCATTTTTGTTCCTGCGCCGCCCGCGCGCATTTCTTTCGCAACCTAAGCGCCGTACGCGATCAGCGCGCGGGGGGCGCGCTAGAGGCTCGCGTCTTCCTTCCGCCCACGCCAGTAGTGAATTGAGTGCGCGCAAATCACGCACGTCTTCTACGAGCCTTGCATGAGTTGCCGACCAAACCATTGCCGTGACTGCACGTGCACATTCGCCAGATGTGGACGCACCCTTACGTTTGTATGAACGTAGAATATCCGTAGGGCTGTCGTCGCAACCTTGGAACCACACGGTACAAAAACTTGGGCCATGGCAGCCAGGTTTTCATGTCAACAATTTTTTAAGAAAGAAACGGCGCAATCATTCCAAGCTGTAGAATCGTAAAATCATCCTTTAAAAGTAACTTTTTGAAGTAACTCGAATCCCAATTAATGGAATTTGTCATCGTTTTCATTGGTTCAACCCGCGATTTGCATTTATTTATGGATAATTCAATTGTTTTCAGATATCAGAAGTTGTAGTACACGAAAATTTCACGAGCTCAGATAATGATATCGCTGTATTGAAGACAGAAGATGAAGTAGACACAACCCAGACAATATCTTTCGCTTGTCTGACTGATGGACAGGAATTCTCTGACGCTGCCGTACGTATATTAAAAACTGGCTGTTTTTTTATCTTCGTCATTAGTTTGGTGCTTAATATATTCAACTGATTATAAGTTAATTTTTTATTTATTATTTGTTAGGTTTAAATCATGAGTGACAAACACTAGAGACAGATCAGATCCATACTTAATAAATCTGTATAAATTATTATTTTTAAAAGTGCAGATTTTTTTAAATTAATACGTGTTCTATTTATTCATTTAGAATTATTATTATTATGTAGGGTAAGGTTGTTAGTTTTGGCTACAGCGCAGTCTGCCTGATCCCTAAAGTCCTAGGTTCGAACCCCGGCTGTGGGTTTTATATCCCAAAAGTCATATTCTATAAACAAAATGGTTCAGTTAATGGCAAATAAGTTATTTTAAAAATTACATCTTAACAATAATAATAGGTATTCACTCGTTAACTTTATACAAATTATAGCTGGTATATTTAGTAAGCTTACTGTGGTATAAGCTTATAGAAAGCCTCAACTAAGAACAATAATTTTAGACGACAGGTTGGGCGGTTTCGGGAGAATTAACGGCCATACATTTTGACAAAGACAAGAGTCAACAGTGCTTGGCGGAAGACGTTTGTGCTGTCTACGGGAATGGTAAGATTTATATCGTTAGAAACCGCCACTAAACTAGTATTTAACTTTACTAATAATAATTTAAACCCTATTTTGATTTTGGATTAAAGTTTTAGCAAATATTTTATTTTCGACATCCGTCGTTCTACAATTAAGCGTTTTAAGGCAGGCTTTTTGCCGCCCACCACCACATTGAGGAACCACCTACCCGTTAAAGTATTTACAAACCAAAACTTAATGTCCTAAAAGAAAAGAAGAAAGAATTCTTAAAAGGCCGGCAACTCACTCGCGAGCCCTCTGGCAGTGTGTCCTTGAAGAGTCTAAAACTTGACATACATAAAAAAAGAAAATACAACGTTATGTATGTAATTTTCTTTTTCATTTGAAACCAATGGAAAAATATTTTCAGATATAACCGTATGTCCCAGTTTTGGCGGTGTGTACGCGGTGAAGCAAGGTGGCTGGTACCTCCACGGTATTCGCACGGAGATCGAACCCTTCGACCAGAGCCTGTGTCTCAACAAACCGCTTCATTATACACCACTGAACCTATATACAGACTGGATTTATAATCTTTAAGAAAATATACTATTTTTGTAAGCTAATATTTTATTGTACCGCCTCTGTTGTTTAATGGTTACGTCATGTCGTGTAGATGGGTTCGATATTTAATGCTGGCTGTTTCAAATTGGTAGGCCGATGCTAGTTGCTAGATGCTTACACTAAATCATGTTGGTACTTGCCTCAGATATTGATTGATATCTTCCCTACTACTGTAGTGTTAATAATTATCAAAAATCTTAAAAACCATCAACAGTGACTATTACGTGGCGTTTCAAGCAGAAAATCACGGGAAAACGCCTTAATTTCAAAAAGAAGAAATTCCTGCTTTATCAAGACAATGCACGGTGTTACAAATCAATAAAAACTATAGCAAATTTTATGAAAGAATTGCTTCTGCATCCACCATTTTTCCAGATTTGTCCTCCAGCTGGTTTTTTCCTGTTCTAAGACCTCAAGAGAGTGCTCGCTGGATAAAAAAATTGTTTTGAGGCTAAAGACAAAACGTATTACAAAAATAGTATCGAAAAATTTTATGACCGCTATAATCGTTGTATCGCTCTCAAAGGCAACTATATTAAATAATCAAATCAAATACTATCAAAATAAAATATTTTTTCTATGTTAGCCTATGAACTTTTCATCTCAACTTTAATTTATAAGAAAATGCATCTTAAGGGAATTTATTTAAATATTTTCGCAATTGCAAACAAAAGCAGAAAATTTGTTTATATATTTTCACTATGGGGTACTCAACGAAGTACAAAAGTAAATGACGTAAGTGTGACCCATTCTTCTATTTATATACCTACTAATAAATGAATTATAAAGACTATATATAATGCCGTATTTTCTAGAAATTTAATCACCGTCCAATGATTATAAATTCTAATCACAGATTCTGTTACTCACGTACGATAAATTGCAATTAAGTGAATTTGGTCCAGACATGCAGATCTAGGATTATCGGTTAAAGGACAATACCCTATCAGGTTAAGCTTGAATATGTTATCTACATATTGTAAATATATACGTATAATTGATGATTAGATCTTGTGTTTGGTTTAGTATGGAGAAAAGTTATTGGCGCTTAAAATCGCCAATCCCTGTAAAAAATACAAATTTCATAGAAGCGCCAATTTTAAAGCCGGCAGTAGAAAGTATAGGTCGTCTTCCTTGTGTAATAAAGTACTATCCCTTGTGTAATAAATATGTCTAAAAAGGTTACATACTCTACAATGCATGTATAGCTAACTGAATTGTATGATTTATCAAAAAGGCAAAAATTTCAAGCGGACACTTTGATATTAAACAGACAGAGGATCAAAGTGTTTGATTTGTTGACGCATTAATTGTTTCAACCGAATTCAAGCATTTCCCTGAATGTGGGAAATAAAAATCATGTATTAAAAACATTAGGCACTACGTTTACGCTTATAGGTTATAATAATAATCTTTATAACTATTATAAAGTCTTAAGTAACATCGTACAAACTCTTCCCTCTTGGTTCTCTAACATCCTCATTTACCTAATAATTGTTTTGTCACATTTATTTACGTGCAAAGTAACACGAATATAAAAATAAAAAATAAAATATAAAAAGTCTGTAATTTCCTATTAAACAGTAAATTCAAACAATCAAGCATTATGTTAATTATTAATACAGTGTAGTCCGGTTACTACGGCGTAAGTATAGTTACATGTTTGGTTTTCATATTAGCCACTAATGTTTGTCTGTATGAAAGTAAATCCGTTTTTTACGACTCCGCATTCAGCGCTTAACAAGGGTCAAATTCACACAAAATTGTCCGTTTACAACGACGACGAGCGTTGACGTGTCTACAAAGAAATCTTCGGTAAAAACCTATATCTGCGCTGCAGAATTAAACATAACCTAACGGAAAAGTTTCTCCATTAAAGAAAAAATTTATATAATACAACATTTAAATGCTGGCGAATCGAATGGTACGTTTGCGAAGGTAAATTATTTTACAATATCTACAATTAAGAAAAATAAACACAAGATAGAACCTTCGTTTGCGAATGCTGCAGAATTGTTGAATGTGTTTGTACATTCCAATTTTGTAGATGACAACATTAAAACTATTATGTCTCGTTTGCATAATGCAATCCGTACTTCTTACTTTAGAAATTAAAACCAAAAACAACCAAAAATTATAGAGTTTTTGCTCTAGAAATTTCGTTGCTCATTTACATTTGGTTAATTATATCTGAAAGTATGTATGTATGTTGATTTCAATTAAAATAACATTTCTTTATAAAAATAATAAACATTGTGATTTAAATGTTTTTTTTTTCTCTGATGGTCACGTAATTATTAATAAATACAGTATATTTGTGTGATTATTTTAATACAATACATAAATTGTCAGTACGACTTCCGGTTAATACGACGAAATATCCCGGTTCATTGGCCGTCGATATATCCGGATTCAGCACAGATAAGATAAATTAAATTATAGTAGGAACCCCCTTCACAGGTAGGTATATTCAGACATAGGCATCTTCCAAGGAATGCCATTTTTCTCTTACACAAGCTACAGTATGGGCTAGCAATTTTGGAAAAGTCGTCCTCCCATCGCGTTTAGATAATCTTGCATCATTGGCCAAAAGGCCAATGCGTGAAGGCCAAAAGTCCTTTTCATTATGTGACTCATTTAGCCATCTTCCGTCTTGACGCCAGGTGTCCCGCCTACTTCCATTTTAATTTTTTCTTTAGCATTTTAATTTTATCTTTAGCATTTTAATTTTTTCTTTAGCATTTTAATTTTGCTTTAGCGTTTTAATTTTATCTTTAGCATTTTAATTTTATCTTTAGCATTTTAATTTTATCTTTAGCATTTTAATTTTTTCTGTAGCATTTTAATTTTATCTTTAGCATTTTAATTTTATCTTTAGCATTTTAATTTTATCTTTAGCATTTTAATTTTTTCTTTAGCGTTTTAATTTTTTCTTTAGCATTTTAATTTTATCTTTAGCATTTTAATTTTTTCTTTTGTCTGTATCTTTTGTCAAATCTCGTATTTTTGCGTGACGTAATTTTTGGATTGGTTTAACGCCTAAACCTTTCTATTAAACTGCTACATTCTAAACTACGATAATGACAAGGACAAAACAATATGTGACTTATAAAACGTTTATATAGTTATAATTAGTCTGTTTTAATTAATACTTTAATAACTTTTGTTATCTCAACTCGCAAACGAGCAAAACTGTAAACAATTAATTATCTCGAATTGAAATCTAGCTCGAAAGCGACATTAAAACAATTTTGATAAAATATCTCCGGGAACAATATTAAATTATCTTAGAACATAAATCATTCCGAACTTATGGCGGGGCACCGTCGGAAATTCATTTGTATGTAAATATGAAGGTCGAATAACTACGCAAGTGCAGGCAAATAGCGCGGTATGCATAGTAATCGGGATTACGGCCCTACTACGAACTTATATATTAAAAGTCACTTGTATAACGACATTTCTTTCATTCTTCAGTGTGTTTCCAAAGGATCTTCTTTGGACATATAGTACTCAGAGGTGCCGATAACTCAGAGCAGGCCCCTAGGCAAATCCTCTACTCGCTGGACCGACCAAGTTAAAGTCCTCTAAGGCTTGCCGTTATACAGAAGACAGATGAGCTAAAACAGTAACCAAATGGACTGGTCCAAAAGGAAAAAGCAACAACAAGGGCAGACCAATAGAGCGATGGGTTGAGGGGATCGAATAGGGTAGCTGGAAAAAATTGAATGACGATGGCACAAAATAAAATAGGCTGGGAAATGTATGAGGAGGTCTTCTCCCGGACAGGGGCCGCGTCTTAGAGTAGTAAAAATGTTATTTATATCTATTTTTGTTAAATATATGTCAATAAGATGTGGATGAATAAAGGCTTATTATTTTTATTAAGACTTGCCGACAGGAGAGAATAGAGAAAGATATGCAACACCAACACGATCGTCAGTAACGAAGAACGCGACTAAAAAAGAAGAAATATCGAAATAATATAAAATAGATTTGGTAATTGTTTAACAGTTTATTGGACCACAGAATAAGAACAAACACATAAAGAAAGCAGCTTTCTATGATATAAGGTGTTAATTATACCTGTTACATGATTTTAATAATGGTAAATAACTGCTAATGACTGATGAAAAGAAGCTCTGGTCAAGACTTCATATTATATACATAATAAAAATTACATGCAAGCGCAAGTGAAGTGGTTTTACCTAGCGTTATTGAGGGTTTGAACGACAAAATCGCGGAAAAACGGCCCCATTTGAAAAAGAAGGAAGTGCTGTTCCATCGAGACAACGCACCGTGTCACAAATCAATAAATACGATCCCAAAATTCCATGACAATTCATGCCAAAGGCCAATGCCTTCGACTTGCTTCCGCATCCACCGTATTCCCCAGATTTGGTCCCCAGCGACTTTTTACGGTTCTCAGAAAATACTAGCTGGATAGAAATTTGGCGCTGATGAAGAGGTAATCGCCGAAACTGAAGCCTATTTTGAAGCTAAAGCCAATCGTACTATAAAAACTGTATGACCGCTTTAATCGTTGTATCGCTCTCGAGGGAATATTTAATAATGATATCTATGTTAGGTAATCTTTTCGGCGCTTTTAATATTATCACTTAATTTATACTTGTAAGTCACAATCATATTTTATCCTTTATTATTACAGTTTGTCATTTATAGACACTGCGATTCTTGACTAATTTATTCCGATAACAAATCCTTGATAATTAATAATGAAATAGATGTAAACAATTTTACTGCAAATGCTTTAGGACCTCGAACTTAATTCTTCCACCATAACGTATTGTTTTAATATAAATAAATAATTATAATTATTAAAAAAGTTTATGAATTATATTATAATTTTGATTATTTTATTTTATTTTCATTAAAGAATAAAAAGTAATTATTTATTCTGTTTATATCATCATTAATGAGTTTATATTCGCATTCCGTCCATTTTATCCTGCTCG